GCTGTGTTGTAGGCGGAGTAGTAATTTTCCAAGAGCCGTCGCTATGGCCTTTTCTCTTGGAGGGGCCGTTTCTTTCGGGGCTTTAATTATGTCACTTTCTGGAAGCCGTCACATTCGGGGTATCCCTTGCTTCAGAGTCTCTAAAGTATCGAATCTCAAAGTGATGGTCTTACACAATGGTGAAAATGAATATGGTTTCGTAACCTTAAGTGTGGCGAATAACGCGAGGGGTGATGTTTTTCATTCAGAAAGCCTATTGTAGGGGTGAATGAATACTTACTTCGTTAAAGCAAACAAAGTGAGATTTCACTTGTTAAAATGCGTGTTTTTCTTCACTAAGAGGAAAACCCCTGTGTCATGTATTTTGAGTATTGTTTTAATTAAACATTTGTTTGATTCAAACTCGAAAAAGAGCTTCCCGTGAAAATAAAAGAACATTGATCGAAGTTAGCTATAAGTAATAAGTAACCAATTCCTCTTCGGTTTATGGCTGCTTGTGACGCAAACTATGAGTTGTACAAAGAACAACGTCCGGTCATGTCTGCGTTTTTTCTTAGTTCTTAAGCTAATTGACAAAGATTAATGATTTTATTTTTGTATGGACTGATAACATCAAGAATTAAAGTTTGCTTTTCGATTCCACAATATCACAAATACCTCTTAAGGCTTCTGAAAAATCAGCACGCTTTTGCTTTATGAGAGAAGATAACTGATGAAAAGCAAAAGGCATGACATAAGGGACTTCTGGGGTAAAACCGATGACCTGAGGTCTTTTAAACTCTTTAAGCAGGTCACCTTACCACTTCACACTTGGTAATCCCGGAAGCTAAGTTCACCAAGCAAAAGGTTACACAGGTATCGTCTAACTCACTTCTATTTTCTACATCAAGGTCCATTGTCCAGAATGCGTGGATTTAGATCCAACCCCCTTGAAGTGTGAGGCATCGAGCTCAGGTTCTTGACCATTTTAGAACGGCTTCAAAGTGGTTAAGGGGCGACGAAGCAAACAAATAGCTGACCGCGCTATCTTAACAGTGACTGGAGCAAAACTCTCCTAAAAAGGTAGGTCTTGATTCTTTGAGTTTTTCTTCGTACAGAGGGCATTACAGGCTCGGTCATTCAGGCGATTTGGAAAATACATAATTTTTACTCACTTACCTGCAAGGGATGTTCGCTTTTGACCTAGTGAATTGTGTAAGCAAACTCTATGTCCTGATGTCATCTCAGCATGATGGTGCTAAGGTTTTGTTGCAGTAGGGTTAAGGGGTTAGGGCTTATACAGATATTTACCACAAAAAATATTTTACCAGCACTCCTAAGTCGATTTTCTATCGGGGGCGGCACATTAGAACTTCGATGTGCACCACAATGTCTGGATTTTTCTCATATGATAATCATTAAAATGATACAGTGCACTTACAAAAAGTTTAGTATTCCCAGACGCATTGTATGCACATTAAAATGAATGCTCGTGACACCAAAATCTGTGCAGCTATCAAATCGCTTTCTTTGGCTTTCCTTTGATTTGTCGGTAATAGACAAGGGATTGACTGTGTACAGATATGCTCTACATACATCACGGAAACATTTTTCTTACAAATACTGACTGCATTCGACTGCTCAAACACTGTTTCACCATTTTAATGGCAGTGAGTCTTGATACATGATGGATCTGAAAGACACCAAGAAGACAATTGTAAAATATTTGGCACAAAAGATTGAATAAGCCACTCCTCAGTGCTCCTGTACATTTCACCACGTTTTCGAGCGAAACAAGTGTCTCTAGTTAAGCCGGCAGTAGCATCATGGTAAATGATACTAGGATGGTTAATCCCCAGATTCACTCTTAACTGTATGCTTTCTTCGAGTATTGCTTTCAATTTCCGAGGAATCCTTTGTCTGTGCATTTGCGTATGAGTTTTTTCTTATCTATGAATGGCGCAGCATAAGGATTTAATGGAGATAAGGTGGAAACTGTAATTGCTCTAGCGGTGGTTTTTATGTTAGGGTTCAGTTCTGTGCATTTTCTCTGTTTCTGTGGTGATGAGTACAGCATGTGATGGCCTGGTCTTGATCATAAAGCATAAGGAGGTTTATTTTTAAATATAACCTTTATTTCGAACTTTGTATTTCCTGTCCTAAAATGACCTTTTTACCTCTCCCATAACTTCATAATTAAGTAATAGATGTAAACATAATTTCAGTATCGACTACCACGCAATCAACTGTATAGTGTAGCTCTTGAACAGTTTGACTTCTCTCGTAAGTACACTTATGATATCTGCTACGGATCCACGCCAATTGAGGCGTGTGAAATAGTTAGTGTTTTGTGAGGAGAGGAATAAGAGATAACTTTGAGAGGAGCCTCCTACCAAATATAAAATCAACAACAAACTTAATATCATAAATCAAACAGGATATTGACTTTGGACCGGGCCACGCGTTGGCCTAGTCACGTGACTATAAGGGATCACCACAAAGTCACTGTCCTACAGTCTTATGTCGCAAGATGGTTCTTTTCATGGATTCGATGACACGAAATAAGTTGCTCTTGAAGTACAAGTCAAGATTCGCATTTATTTCGAGGTTTCAAAGAGATAAGACCTCACTTTTTAACAAAGAGAAGTATGGACAAAAAAGAGCAGAGGCACGCGAAAGTAACCATCAATACTTCTTTCAAGAATTACCACGCATACCAGACAAAGTCTCAATAGTTTCTGTTATGCTTGAAATTGACATTTACCGGGTAAAGCGTAATGAGTAACACCACTTGAAAATATCAATTTTTATTTAGTGGAACTTTTTATCGTTGTGTCATTGTTAATTGAATCTGGCATTTCTTAGCGGAAGTTCGATTTTTTTGTGATATGATTTACTATTTTTTTCTCAAACACCAGATCAAAGAGCTTAGCTTTTGTTTCAGAATGTTCCAGCTACTACAAACAAATTCTTCGTCAAACGCACGACACATCATGAATCAATTTTGTTCGCAGCCTATGCGTGGGGCATGATGTATCATTAATATATTTTTTTCTTCAAAGGGGCATTGTATTTTCAGTGAGTGTTAGCTGATACATACTTCAGGGTGGCTAGAAATACGTTTCTGTTTTTGGAAAGCCTTTAATATGTCTGTTGATCTTAAAAAGTCTTCTTGATTGTTTTAATGACTGTGACATTGTGGCCATGTTTGAATCAACATGAGACGGAGCTTGCTTACTCTGAAGAATCCTGTTGAAAACTTTAGCAGATAAGAACTTAAAATTTTTTGGGAGAAACTATGTTGTTCAGTTACGCAATTTGAATAATGGGGCGAGATGAAAAACTGGAGAGCACTTAAGAAACAAGTATTACTTACGGTCCATCCCTCACAAGGCTACTGGTGTGGTTATCGAGTGTTCTCCGTCACTCTCAACGTACTCTTAAGTTCTTTAGAAACATATGTATACAACTTAAAAATAAAAGCATCTAAGTCTAGTCACGTGACTGGTCAAAACTGGTGTTTGGATTTGCGTGCAGACTTCTTTCCTGTCCAAAACAAAGGAAAGAATTAAATGTGACAGATGTCTGCACGGAAAAGGTTTATTTTCAATATTCCGAACAGCGACCACGGCCCCAGATTTTCTAAGGGGAAGTGTATAAAAATCTAGAGCTGATGAATTTATTTTTTCTTACGGTGATTGTTTTCGCTTCTCTTGTGTCTGGCTCAAGCTTAGCGAAGCTCCAGAGTCCCAGCACTTTCAGGATATACTCACATTATTGGATTTTAGTCATGTTCTCTCTTACTCAAATTGCGTCTGGCGCGAATCCTAACATGTGTTGATCGTTGCAATCTTATTAAGGATACTGACAAAATCGTTTTGTTCCACAAAATTAAGCAAGTAATTCAATCTTATCTCAAAGACAAATCTACTTTTTGCATCTCTGTTTTGGTGATTTTAACAACTTAGCGACATATAAGCCTTTCAAACCTCCCCTTACGTCAACTGAAAAGGGTAAGTTCTATAATCTTTAGGAGTTTCACGGGATTGCTAGCAATTCTTTGAGAAATCTTTCCATTTTGATGCGTATCAGAGGAATTCAGCTGAGTTTGTTGCTATAAGCGGCATTTTAGAACAAAGCCATAGCTGAACAATTATAAATCGATGATGTTGCTCTTACTGATTTTAAAATTCCCTCCTGTATGACTAGGCAAACATTTATTATCATCACAGTATTGTATTACTTCATTTAAAATGATCTGTGAAGGAATAAACATTCTGTTTATTTATTTCTGTTTTAAAACCAATATACAAACTGTTTCTATTGTTTTATTAAACCGACCACTTCTGCAATATTGGAGTTTCCTTACAGATAAAACTCGGTGATCGCCATCGACCAATAGACCTTAATCAACAATTGACAGAATAATAATTTTTTTAAGCAGTATTGAAAATCAAGCTTAAGTTCTAAACAAGTAGCCTTGTTTACATATACATTTCGTGTAAGTGGCAGTTAAAGGCATCGCGCTTTTCGCAAATATTACAGGCAGATAATTCGCTTGCTGTCTTAAAGTAGCTTCTACAACGAAAACAGTTTCTTTTTCAAATTTTTTAATATTATAGGAAAATAAAACACATGAGAAGTCAACCAAATTTATTGTTTATATATAACTGATTGTTATCGCAGCAGGAAAAGAGTCATGTATATGAGAAACATCAAACAAAGAGGGAAATATCAGAACATTGCAAATCGCTTTTTTTAACAAAGATTCTCAGCTCCAAGAGGTAAATTTGTTGGGTCAAGAGAGTATGACTAAACACGCCTTGTGATTGCTATGTCAATATAATTTGGTCGTCTGGTATCATCGGAGAAGGTTACAATGTCTAAATCTTTGGGTGTAAAAGAATTTTTTTGAAAAAAATTAATCATACTCGTGTCTTCAACTCCCTGGGTTTCATTTTGACGCTCTCCGGGTGATAGGATCGCAATTAAATATCGTTATCTCAGTGTTTGATGTGACCGGCCATTACATGGCGATTTCCGGACTGAACTGTTGCTACTAAGTCTTCTGATCTTTTGTGCCCTCATTAGTGAAATCCTTTAAGAAAACAAATGGGTATTAACATGAAATAATGCAGAATGTTTTGGTTGTAACGTGAGTTTATATAAATTAGTTAAAGGCGCAGAACACTTGTCGGAAGGTAATTTGAAAGGTCACATTTTTCTGTATAGGCTCTCAATCGTGAAGCCTGAAACCCTGCTGTTACTTTGAATGTTTGCAATAAACGTCGACAATTAAAAAACCCCTTCAAAGCTCATAGTGCTAATCAACTCCAAGGGGATTAAATGAAGAGTGTCTACTTCTGAATCCTTCAAGATGACACTGTTTTCATCTTGTGCTGTACTTCACTTCGACCAAGCTGTGGGTTCGATTGTCTTGGAAATTTGGCAATGAAGCTTTCATTTGGTCATGAAAAACCTGCAAGGTTCAGTAAAGGAAAAAATCCTGGTACAGCATTGCATGACTATTCCATCGTTGTAGTATTCATATCTCTATCAGACACAACGTTCAAGTGTTTACAATTTAGTCGTGCCGTGACCTCCAGCTGTCTGTTTGGATTCCGCTAAAATTGATATTTGAAAACATATATTAAATACTTTCCTCTAGCTGGGGTATCACTTGTCATAAGGAGTGGTTCTTTTCTTGAAAGTTGTACATAATCTTAACCGTTCAAATAATCTTTGTTGAGTGCATACCATTGTTCGCATGACATTTGACGTGACTGTCTCTTGTGTGTTTGTGTGTGTCCGAGCAGCAGGAAAGTTATTCACAAGTAAAGACGTCTTCTTCTCTCCGGCATCTCTTGCATTTGACTGTACAGCACCACAGAAAACGGCATTGGCAATTTTCTGTTACGACCAATTTTCTCATTCGTGCTCCGCGACCGCAGCAAAGCAATTGACACCCTCCCACTCCCATGCTTGTATCATTACACCGTCTGCCCACAGTGCCATGATAGCCCATATAGGGATCCGCTTTGCAAAAGTTTAGGGATTCGGTAGTATAAACCAAATCGATTTCTGTTGGAGGTTTTATTGTTTCTCCTTCTTTGATTAACCGATCTCCGCTATTTCCTATAATCACCTTGATGGCAGAATCGAAACGGGCTTTCAGTTTGTCGCCCACGTTTCTAAAGAGCGGCATCTTTTTCCAACACGTTTGAAGAGAGCAGGCACCCGAGAGACCATGGCATTTGCATTCTGTTTGCATGTTACGCTTGACTGCCTAAGAAAGATGAAAGAAACCAAACAGGTCGTTACAATTATGAGTAACTAACTCGAGATTGATCTAGCTAGGTTATCTATGGCATTTTGGATTAATTTTATCGTGGAAGGTATCTTTTTCTAGAGTTGCGTTTCAAAATTTCGCCAGCTATCACTTTCCCAAGCGGCTGTTGTCTTTATAAGTTGCGGCACCTTTGTTCCAATTGAAAGTATTTGTTTCACGCGCGGATAAGTGTTAAGGATAAACTGGTATAGAAGAGACAAAAATAGTGGTTTACTTTAAATGAGACGCAAATATTTACCAAGGGAATTCGTTCGTGTCAACCTGCCAAAGACGGAGGCACTTGTCTTTCACAGTTTCCACTTGTAAGGTAAACTGTCAAAATTGAATTAACTACTCTGTCAATAAAGTTTACACTAGAAAATTAAATTCCTGTGAAGATTTAATGCGGTGGTGTGAAGAACTGATTAAAGCAAACTGAGCCATTTAGACGTCCTAGTGATTGTATGCAACCGTTTTATTAAAAGAGTTGGCTTGAAGCGTCTTACTTTACTTTTAATTGGGTTAAACAGTCAAATCGATAGAAAAACATTTATTTGTCGGTGTTCTGTGTTTAACGTGTTTGAGGAATCAGAAATTAGAGGTATACTGTTAACTCATTCTTTTTAAGTGTAAACAAAGGTTTGAGATCCCACAAAAGGTATGCAAATATAACAAATTCGGTGATTAGTGGAAGGCGTATATGTAATTTAGCTTTTCTTCGAAAAAATTAACATTAAGATTGGATAGCTTCGCGATAATTGTTCGAGCGGTCGTGTAGGTGACAAATTAACTTTTTTCACGCCACTTGCGTCCAAGCTATGCTTTGTCTTCGTTGCTTTTAGATGGCTTATCGGCATTTCTGTGATACGTAAAAAAGCTTAAGATAGCAGTGAAAACAATCTGCTCCCGCCGGAAATCAGAGTTGATGCACTTTCGCAAGCCAACGCTAGTCTCTTTAACACCCAATGTTGTTATCAGGGCTTAAGTCCTAATCAAAATTGTACTATCAACTTGAAATAAATGATGCCACCAAAGACGATACAAACTCAAACGAACGGCAGATACCATGATCACAAAATGACCTGTTTTTAATTATGCAGCAAACGGCTGGCTCGTTACTTAAGTGCCGTGGAATCCAAGAGAATACGCGAATATTTTTCTTACCTCGTTAACTTAAACAAGCTTATTACTTAGCAGTAATTGCATGACAATTGCTTTCACAGCCTTTCAAAAAGGCGCTGTGTTGTGACGAGTGCGTGTTTGATTGCTTAGCTGTCTGGGTGATATAATTTGGCGTTCCGCAACAGCAATGCCAAGTTTAAGGCCGGAAAACCAAGAACGAGCTCTTGTTTGTTTGTCGTTTATCTAAGTGAGAAAAGGATAGGGCTTTGGCAACTCATGACAAAGCTTGGTGTAAGCCCGGAAATGCTTTTCACTTACCAATCGTCCTGCTTCATTATTATGTTCGATTATCATGGATCGACCGTCTCTGTTTTTTTCTTCTTGCATCAACTGCCGCGACATCGCGTAGCCGTGATGGATATTGTCGCTGCAACCTCCCCATTCGAACTGCTCAGTTTCGCCGATGGGAAATGCCTGGCTTGGAACTTGGTTGTCTGTAGAAGGGTATTCGTTTCGAGGGAACGACTGAATCACATTGTTGGCGATGACTTGCTGTTTCTGTTGCGGATTTACTTTGCGGCATCCACATTGGTGAAGTTGACCCAACCTACATGCTCGCGTGACAGAAAAGGTAACCCCAGCCGATGTAATGGCGTAGATGAACGCCGTCTCTCGGTAGTCTGTAGAAAAAATAGAACTTTAAGTTGAATAGTGCTTTAGGTCGTATGTGCTTATTCATCGTTGTCAAGTGAAGTGGTTTGTTGTGCGATCAAGCAACGCACCGGCCGATGAATTTTTCATGCAGAGTTTGTTAAGTGTGACCAGATAACAGCATTTGACTAGCGTTCATTATCGCTTACCGTAGCGAAGAATTTTCTTGACAAAATTCTTAGACGTCGAGCAGTTCCATCGCCTGTTTCTAAACTGCCACTGACACTCTTCGACGGAACCTTTCACCCCCCCAAGAACGGTAGAAATCAGTTCAGGCTTCGATTTGCAAAAGTCTTCCTTTCTTTGGAAGAATGACTGCGTTTTCTTACACACGACATTAGGGTCTTGTTGCATTGACGTCTCGAGTGACCTGCATTGACGATTAAAAGTACTATGTTTTAGTAATCTACTAAGCTAAGTAATATAGGGATTATTAAACCGCGGATTTCTGGTATGTCAGGACTTTTCTGACTGTGCACAGTACTCACCACCATAACGCAATAACTTTGCTTGAATAAATAACAAATAAAAATACACTCAGTAAACGGAGCTTCATGGCTCACTCAATAGAAACACTTATCAATGAAAGGGAAGAATAGCGAATAAGTGCTGCGCACTGATTTAATGTGTTTTATAAACAGATGAAAGTATTCTCGACTCTGATTGGCTTTCGGTAACACATGTCAATCTTCCAATTTAATACTCCTATATTCGTTTAAAAATCCATTTCAGGTGATATGGAGGACATTAGAAGAGGAGAGAATCTAAGCCTACTCTTTCATCAAGTAGCTTTGACTGTCAAGTAAAGTCTTGCCAACTTGACTTGATTTTTATTCTGTTCATACATGTTATTTGGGTTTAGTAGGCAACCGTCGCAAAAGTTCCACATGCAACATACAGTGAACTGTATCAATAAATCCAAAAACATGCTCTGTCTCATTTCAAAATCACAATTATCGCTTTTGTCTAGTTCCTGTTTGAGACGACTTAGCATGAAAACAGACAGATTTCTCCGTGAATGTAATCTTATCTGTAGCAACGCTACTGAGCCAATTTGTTCTCTTAATTGGTTAGTTCACTTGTCAACAACAACTTCGGAAGAGACGAGACCTAACTGACCTTAAATCCTAAGATTATTTTGATAGCAATTTGCACTAGTCCTTGAGTGTTGAATTTCTCATTTTAGCATTTTTAGATGGACCTCAGCTGCTATGTTCTTACGCTACTAATGCAGTGGTTGCTGCTGACGCGAAACCAGAACGTTCACATTCATGTTTTATGAAAATTGTAGTTTCCTTTAAGTAGTTAGTTTCGTTTAATTTTGTGAAGGAGAAAAGGTAGTCTTCAAGCTTGAAATGTTCGTCAGAATAAAGTTTGTAGACATGAGAATGTATTTAGGCCAAACATAAACAGTCTACTTTGAACATAACTACTATTTCATTTTTGAAACAACTGAGTGTTTTCATTTTATTTGCAAGATGTAGATTAATTATGCGTTAAGCCTCAAATGGTAAAACTGAGAAATCTTCTGCTGATTTTCCATTTTTTGTTCACGAACGTTCTAAATTAATGTAATTTTTTAACTATCTCAGCACGGAACTCTCTAGATTAAAAAAAGATACGCTTATAGTCGGAAATGAAATATAAATACTGTCAGGTGTTCTCTCCTGAATTCTTAGTACGTCGCCAGATAGACGAGTACAAAGGATAAACATGGAGAAAGTAGTGAATTTGCCATAACTTTTAATCCGTAGTAAAGCAATAATGTACTGAACTGACTAGTAGTATGGGCATATATACAGCGTTTTACAATTTAAAGTGTCTTAAACATTGTGATCTGGAGTTATCTGCGCACACATCTCATCTCTCTAGTAACCGTCTAACTCATAATGGTGTTCCCGCCACTTTATCTGAAATATTTATTCTTTGCAATAGCTTCATTTTTATTCTTTTCAACTAAGAACTGTCATGAATGTTTCTTTCGAGGAAACTTTTGGCTTCGTATGTATCGTATATAAGTGTAACAAATAGAAATTAAAAAAACGCTAAGGAAATCGGCGTGGGTGTGATAAGCATTCAAGAAACTGTAGCCTAAACTGCAAAAGAGTTGGGCCGCTTTGCAAAGGTTTTTCTCCCCACCACGATGCGCGTATTACGCTGATATTTGGTCACACTGGTAAAATAGGTTTTCCCTGAGAAATATTTCCTCTACACTCCTACAGAATGTTTAAGAGGTAAAATGAATCGCGGGAAAGACGCAGTAAAAATTTTGATCGAAAAATCTCTTTGAAGCTATGATCAATTGAAGTTTTATGATTCTTAGAAGTATTTTTCAGTACACTGCAAATGATCGATAGACCGTGACTAAAGGTCTCAGACCAAAGGGATCCTTCTTGGTGACAATTGTTCGCCCCCTTGATGCAAGTAATTGTTCCTAAATTGTTTGTTTATCTCGTAAAATGTACAAGTGTATCGTAAATGGCCTCCTTGTCTTCGTGACGCTAGTATTCAGAGACCTACACAGCTGAAGATTCCTAAGCTTATACTTCAAGCCTTGGGTAACATATGATGAATTGAAATGGGGTTGCGCAAGTCAAAATATCGCACAAGCCGCTTGGTGTACCGAGGCTTCCGTCCTGGTCGACAACGCAGTCATCTGAATTTTCCTTGAAACCACGTTAGGAATGACTCTTAGTAGGTTTTTAATTTATTTGTCACTGAATACAATGATAGTAGTGTAAATTTCTAGAAATACCTCTACACTTTTAAACTGTCAGCACGTCAATTCCTTTGAGAGAGGACCTTAGAGCGGCTGTCATCCGATTACTCAGACTGCATTAAGTCGTTTTGTATCCTAATATTTCAACAAATTGTTTCTGAGGGGAAGGATTTCCAGTGCTATGCCCTTTGAGAAAGCGGCGAAAACCAAAAGCCAATCTCAAATGATAAATAATTAGATATTTTAATCCCCATATCGATGACAAAACTCTTCTCAAGAGGGTGTCAATATATAACTTCTTGAAATTCTGGAATTCCCTGGTGGCCAAAATTCCTTGTTGACTATTTTATCATGGCTTCATAGTCTGTCGATTGCCGAGTTCTGTTCGTTTTCTTGTTGAGTTTTTCTTTTAAGCCGTGACACAGTCTGGAGAAAATTGACTCTAAACTGATTGTGCAACTGCCAAACCATATATGCCTCATTCAATTGATTTTATGTTGATAAGTTGCAATTTTTCGTCGGCGAAAAATGTTACTCTTCTGTGAGCTGCTCTGAGTCCCAGTAAATTCAGTTCTGAATATTCTTTATTGAATTCCATTATTCCATTGTATTACGCCATCATTCCATCTAGATCTGTCAGAAAATTACTGTTGGTTTTCTCCGGATGTTTGACTTTTTTAAGAGGCCACAATGCCACTTTAAGTCGCATAATTTAACTGGTTCACATAACTGTGCCTTTCTTACCGTAGTTGTTAAGTGCAAAGTTCGTTTTTGTTTCCGTTTGATTTTCCATTTCTTTTTTTCATGATTTGTGGCCTATTAAGGACAGAATAAATGGAAAATTTGTCAATCTTAGTGTGGTCACTTACGGAGTAAAAGTCCCAAATGAAAGAATGACAAATTCATCACACTCGAAGTTGTCAATCCCTTTCACAAATTCCCCGCGAGTATTCTCCGTAGGGCTGAGAATATCTGCTTCAGTCTTCTTAAAATACAATTGAAAATAATTTGGAAGTTCAGTTAAAATTGTGAGATATCGATAGTTATTGTTCTATAATTCTTCATTGGTCCTCTTTGGTTGAACATCACCATTATTCTACTTAAAACTGTCGGACAGCTTGGAACCAGTGGTGGAAAAGCAAAACACGACAATATTTTGGTACATTTTGCCAATAATCTTCCATGGCGCTAAGTCACTTATAAATTTATCCACGGGGTAAAAAAAGAGTGAGGTCTGAGAACTTGATATTTGTCGAATAAAATGGGAGAAGTGCTACATCGCTTATAAAATGCTTCGTCCGACAAAAATAGGACATAATGGGGAATGCTGGAAAATAGAATGCTTAGGGTTGGAATAAAAAAGAAATACAGTAGCTCAAGGTCTCAATCGAATCGTATATGTAATGGTGTTGGCTCCGTTAAAAGCATTTGTTTTGCCGTAGATCTGGAAGTGACGACTGTGTCAACCCAAAATTTTCTTGCTTATTGATATAGTTAAAAGTGTTTACAAAAACGTGGAGTTTCTGTCAGGAAAACCGTATCACCTAAACAGATTAGAGTACCTAAGCTTATGAATATCGTTCAAAACATATCTAGATGACGTTTGTTGTTAAGGAAAGCAAAAAGCATTTACTTGTTTTATTATACTGTTATCGTTTTAGTATTGCACAATCAACGAGTCAAAGAAGGGTAACAGTATCCCGTCAGATTGTATGTTTGCGTCATTTTACGTGGGTGTAATGACAACGAAAAAAAAGACTAAATTGGTTGTTTGGAGTTATCAAACAATGGCGAGAGGAGTAATTAGGCATGGTATGCATTCATTTCCCCCTTGGCTTAGATGTTAGGACTAGCGATAGTGAAGACTGGACTTTTGAAGTGCACCCAATTTCCTCGTCATGCATTCATAAGGAAATGTACTACCAAATCATATTCACCAAGATCAATTCCTTTAGCTGGGATCTTTACTCTAAAGAAAAGACACAGTTCCTATGTTCTTTGACCGTTTCAAAGTCTCCGTAGTCCGTCTAACAGATCTGCCTGTCTTGAAAATGGTTAAGAACAATGTATATGACTAAGAAACTGTTGCTGGATCTCTAAGTGACCGTCTTATAGACGTGTTCATCAAGCGGAGGTTGATTGGTGTAACAATTGAGCCTTCTAACTCCCTGAAGTGGTTTACATTTAATTTCTACTCGCACTGATTTTCAGACGTTATCCGGCTAACAGGTGACGCGTTCAGCCTTATCGGCTCTCTTATCAGCCTTAGGGGTTTTATCTTCGAGAAATTTTCAACTGAGTGTCGAGAGTGATCTGGGAGTGCATTCATTCTGCTTTAATTAACTCCGATTGGTCCAGAAAACTCGCGCCACTTTCTCAACCAATCGGATGTAAAACTAAAGCAAATCACGACTTGGTCGCCCGCGTTTTCCCGCTCTTTAGGAAGTTCTGTTGTTTTTAGTTTGAGTTGTCATTGGCTCCTGTGGGTATTTTCCTTTCTGATTTGCCGTTGTTGCTAACACTTAGACTAATTACGAATTTACTTGAGTCAATAATGAGTTATGGGCCTCGATGAACACACCTACGATCGCAGAAAGTTCAAAAGTCGAACACAAGCAACAGAAAGCTTTTCTTCGCAAGCAGCCTTTTCCAATGAATGGCAAATACAATAAAAGAAGCTTTGTAAGGAAAACTGGCAGCATGTCTAGCGGCTTATGAATCTATGTAATGTCAGTCAAGGGTGCTTCACCTGTACGAGAAAATCGAAAGTACATGTCTTTTGCACGGATCAGACTTTTTTCCCCAGGTGAAGCTGGATTAAAAAAAAAACTTCCAACACCAAACATGAGTGACAAAAAATATTTTCATCA